CGGCCCCGCCGCCGCCACCACCCGCAGCCTCGCCCACCCCCGACAAAGGTGGGTCTCCGGGCAAGAAGGTCGCCAAGACGTCCAGCCCCGGGGGGAAGAAGCCCCCGCCGACCCCCCAGCGCAACTCCAGCATTAAGTCCGGGGGCTGCGCGGAGCACCCCGAGCCCAAGAGGCCCTCGGTCGATGACCTGGTCAGCAAGTTCGCGCCACCGGTGGACTCCGGCTCTCCCAGCAAGGAGGCCCTGCCACCTCCTGCCGCACCCCCCAAACCTGGGAAACTCAATCTCGCAGGAGTGAACCTGCCGGGAGTCCTCCAGGCGGGCTCCGTGTCGGCCAAGGCCTCGGCCCTGAGCGGGCGCGCCAAGGACTCGGTGGTGGAGTTCCCTTCGCCGCCCTCCGACTCCGACTTCCCACCGCCCCCTCCGGAAATAGAGCTTCCTCCGCCCCCCATAGAGATCCCCGCGGTGTTCTCCAGTGGCACCTCGCCCAAAGTGGCCGTGGTTCATCCTCAGCCACAGCCATGGTCGAAAACATCCGTGAAGAGGGCTCCTCCACCCACGCGGCCCAAGCGGAATGACAGCACCCGCCTCACTCAAGCAGAGATCTCTGAGCAGCCAGCAATGGCTCCAGCTGCGCCACAAGTGCCCACCTCCCCCAAATCCAGCCTTAGCGTCCAGCCCGGATTCCTGGCCGACCTCAACAGGACACTGCAGCGCAAGTCCATCACCCGGCACGGCTCGCTGTCGTCCTCCCGCGTGTCCAGAGCAGAACCCACGGCCACCATGGATGACATGGCCCTGCCCCCGCCGCCCCCGGAACTGCTGTCTGACCACCAGAAGGCTGGCTACGGGGGCAGTCACATATCGGGCTATGCAACGTTGCGGAGGGGGCCCCCACCTGCCCCCCCGAAAAGAGACCAGAACACCAAGCTCTCCAGAGACTGGTAGCCGCCATAGGACTGGGTGTCCGCGGTCTGCGAAATCGGTTCTACAATCAGCTCGCCTGGGCGTCTGAGTTCAGGTGTTCAGAGCCTCCTGGTATGTTATTCAGGTAGTGTCCAGCTCTGTGTGTGTGCACATTCCGTACATGCGTGGCTATAGTGTGTGTGTTCATACCCGTGTGTGTAGGGAGGAAGCTGAATGAGTATTTATTCCTTTTCTCTCCTACTCTAACCGACGTTTGTGTACTCTGGGTGGAAGAGGCGTGGAAGGACGTGTGTTGTGTCCCTTATGATTTTCATGTGGAGTGGACCAAAAACTTCTAATGACTTATTAGCGAGTATTTTGTGTGTGTGTGTCCATGTGCATGTTGTGTAGTGTGTAACTAAGGAATCGATGTATACTGTGCTGGTTCTCAGTCTGAGAAACCACCCGGAGTGTTTGGTATATTTATAGGGCTTTTGTTACTTGTTTTATTTTCCCCCTAGTTGGCTGAAGTTAGAACTGCTTGACTGGTACCTTCATTACTATACATACATTAAGGGGCACTTTAATCAGGAAAACCTCTCAGCCTCACAGAGCAGGTAAATAGTGCAGGATGGGGGAACGTTCGCCGTGCACACGTGTACGACCGTCCTCTGCTGCAGCGGCCCCCTCCGCCCGCCAGCCTGCAGTGCCCGGCCATGTAGGCCTGTAACCCCGAGTTCCACTTCAGTACTATCTTATGAAGCTTCATCAGCCTGGCTTCGTGATCCTTCCTCTGCTTCATTGTAAGAGAATGTCAACACAATACCCCTGTGACGCTGTCCCAGTCTGTCTTCGCGTCACCAGTCCTCAGCGTGTGCTTTAGACCAATGTTAAGTATCTGTAAACCGCTGGTCCCTGTAATGTACACGTCCTGCCCAGCACGGTGCAGCAGTGCGAGGACGCAAATCACCCTCTGAAACGCCTTCTGTCTTATGTGTTGCTCTCCGGGAGTGATGGGAAAAGAGAACGGTTCTGGGCCCGGTGCAGGTGGCATTAACCGGGTTGTATGTGGGTCACGTGTGATACCAAGAATTCGTTGCAGATGGGACTGTTTCGGGAGGAAAGGAAATGAGCTGACACGTTCATCCGCAGCTCCTGGAGCTGTTGGCCCGTCACTGGGTGCAGCCTGGTTGGAGAGGTTTGTCCAGGCTGCCGGGTGCTCTGATGGAATAGCGTAGCCCAAGGACAGTGACAGCAGTTACATACTGGGCATGTGCAAGCCGGTCCTTGCTCTGACACACGTACTTCACATGATTCCCACTACTACATGCGTTCTTCTGTGAACTTCCCTTGGTACATGAGAGAAATGTGTACTGCCCCATCAATTTACGGTAAGTTGTTTAGGGGAAAATACCGTCTTAGAGCTGCTCGTCAACAGTCAGAGCTGGCCGTCTGAGCAGTTCTGAACGAGCAGCATACCAGTGCCAGCAGCAGACATCTTTTACACTGTTCCCAAGTGACAAGTGATGCCAGTAAAGCAGGGCAGGGGTGGCCTGTGACATACGTGCAAGTCGTGTGCACACAGGGAGTGGCTATAGCCCTTTCTCCCAGAAAACCCTGTCAGCGAGCGCGAGGGCGGCACCTCCCGCGCCACAGCCGCAGGGCCTCAGCAGTTCCTCCGTATCCTTGTGTACATGCGCCACTGAGCGTCCTCTAAAGCCCTGCTCCTGTAGATGTTATGGACCTTGCAAATCGCTCAGCTTCAGATTTCAAAGTTCTGCTTTATGAAGTGACCTTGAACCCATCTGCGTTGCCCACTGAGCAAGCACAGCAGCTCGGGGAATGCTGGTGAGTCCAGACTGCCAAGCTCCACTGACTGACTCACAGGTAAAGTGATTTCCCAGTTTCCTGCCTGCAGCTAAGAATTACTTAAGGGTCCTTCCTCGTTAGGATCTCTGCACTGAGGGGTAAAGAATTATTCATATGAATCCAGCTGTCCCAAGGGTTTGATTTAGCTTTTTGTTTACATGTGACACACACACACACACACATTTACTTGAGGGGGAAAAATAATGTATCCTCAGTCGTCTTTTATTCCGGATTTGAGCCCCCAAACCACCACCTCCCTCTCCAGCGTGGCACTTCCTGGATTTCTTGTGTTCATGCTGCAGACCGCTGTCCTGACCCAGTGCTTCTGTTGTCCTGAAAGAGCAAACGTCCTTTTGCGCACTAGGGATGCCGAGAGCAGGGACTGTTTTGCCCCTAGTTCGGTGGCTTATCTGATAATATGCCACTTCAACTTCCCCCAAAGACAAATTAACTTTAAAAAAAGTTTTATGTGTGAAACTGACTTAAAAATCTGCAGTGATACTTCATATTTACTTGGTGTTTTACTTCCTAGTGGACTTTTTTACTTTGGATTTTTGTTGGGATGTAGACTTTCTCCTGAGGCAACTATTTTTGTAGTCCTCCTTTCTCTCAGGCATGTTCACGGAAATCACCTCCTGCCCGATGACACTAGTACTGTGCCTTTTCTCCCTGCTTCTACTCCGCAGCCCTGACCCAGCACCCAACGTGGCTTCTTCTGGTCAGAGGCAGTGCCTGGGCAGCTGACGTGGCTGCCGAAGTGCAGTGTGGATGAACTCGCCCTGCCCCTGAACACAGTGCAGACAGGGGCCTGTTAGAGCTAGGAGCCTGCTGAGCTGGTGACACCCTGAACTTCCACAGCAGATCATTTCACACGTGGATCACTGTATGCTTCAATTCTGGCACCAATTCTGACGGGCAGCAGAACCCATTTTTAGTTAATAACTTCCGGTTCATAGGTAATAATAATAGACCAGACTATTCTCTATTGAATTTTACCAGCTTGGCTTTTACTACACAAAACAAACTTAAATATCCTTCTTTTTCTGTAGCTGCTTTAATTCTCACTTGGGAAAAGTAACTATTCTTAAGGTTTTACAGAAACCTTAATAGATCATACTTTTAAAATGTGGAGGACTTTTAAAATGAGAAAAGTTGCTAAATCTTAAGTTCCAAACACAATTTTCAAAAAATGTCAAAGTAATATAGACACAATAGAGTCTCACAGGCCTCTAAAATCAAGGTGCTCCCACCTACCAACATCATCCTGCAAAGGGCTGTGACCAATCCTGGTTCCCTCTCTCTGTTTACTTGTCACTGAAAACAGTGCTGAGTTTCTCAAAGTCCAAAACGGGGGAAGACAGAAATTCCAACAGTGACAGCACTGAGCCCAAGGTTCTGGAAGCTACGCTCCAGTGGTCTCAGAAGCTGCTGTTGTGGGGAGCTAACTGCCAACATGCTCCTGTCCCAGATGTGAGGCCGTGAATTGGCCTGGGAACTCTGGGAGGTGGTAGTGTGGGCTGGCCTGACTTGACTCTCAGGTCACCAACAAAACCTTTTGTCACCTTTATTTCTCGGCTACAAGCAACTTTATGTTGCAAACACTAGGTGATTTTTGACCAAGTAACAAACTGGTTCCTATTTTTCATATGAACCAAACGTTTTCATGTACTTTGAAGAGCTAAGAAATTATAATTAATCCAAAAGACCCTGTGTGATTATTGGTTTGACAGTGTGTTGCAGTGACGTAGGTGTAACCTGGGTTTATATACTTGAGAATGTAACTATTTCTAAAGAACCCTTCAGACTGCAAGTCCTTATGGCACTTCAATTTTTGTTTAAAGCAGGGTATCCTTAACCCTGTAGGAACATAGAACCTCTCAAAACGTTATTTGATCCAAAGAGAAATGCAAATAGAATATCTCTCTCTTCTCAGATTTTCCTTTTAAAATTCAGTGAAACATTTCTGCATGTTTACAAGTCTGTCCCTCGAACAAAACAAGTGCCCCGTTCTTCTTGTGCCCTTGGAAAGTCTATATGGAAATCTGAAATTTAGTTGTAGAATAAACTTGCTAAATAAGAATACGCAAAACATACTTGATAACACTCAAAGGGAGAAACATTCTCTCCAACTCGTTAGCTCTTTGCTTGTTGAAGTAATAAACCATTTAGGAAACAGTACTTGCTGTAACCCCAGTGCCTTGAACTCTTTTGGAGGAATAGCATTAAAAACAAAAACCCAACAAGCAAACTCTGAGGTGCTAATGAAGGTGAAGGAAAGTATAGGAAGGCATTTCTGGTTTTGGAAGAAATGGAAAAAAAGTGGCTGTCTCCCAAGAGATGGCTTCATCTACCTGAACGGGGTCCAGCTGCTTTCTACCAAAGACATTTAGAAAAGTAAGTCAAGTCAGGGTGATGGCGAACACTACATACTTACAAGATGGCCAGCTTCAGAAGTGGCTGCGTTGATCACGGATGGGTATCAGTGTCAAGCTCATGACTGTTGGAGCCTCAGCCTCTTCAGTAGTAAAAGGTCTGCGCACTTAACCGGGGGAACACTCTTACGTTTTGGAAATTGTTCATTGTTCGTTAAGTTTGTGTTAGTAACCTAATACCAAAAACTGCCATTTTTCATGATTCCCCACCTAAATTTTTCTCTCTCCTTGTAAATAATCCCTCCTAGGAAATAAGCATTAACTGGAATGTTTCAAATGATTTTGCTTCATTTTATCAGCCACTAGTGAACTGTTCTTACAAGATGTACAAGATGTATTTAAGATAAAATATCATTAGCTTGTGCTAAGTGTTGTAAAAACATTGTTTATTGTTTTAAAGGAAAATTGCACAGTATACTTAACTGGGATGGCTCCTTCCCCCTCCTTCCCCAATTCTTTAAAAAAACAGGAGTCAAGGCTCACACTGACTTCTGGGCTGGGGGAGCTTTGCCATAAATAAATAGATACAATGTAGAAATATACTTTTTTAAAGCATGAAAAAGATGAACTGCATTATAAAGTACGGGATAGAGACATTATACAGAGGATTATGCACAGCTCGGTGAAGATGAAGTTACAGTTCTTTCTTTCAGCTTTGTTGCTACTATTTTCTTCTACATAAATGTACGCTCCCATTTCATTATGTGCCTTGCTCCTGATTGTGCAAAGCTATATGTAGAGAGATATATATGAGAGAGATATATTCAGTACTACTGACGATGTTTTTGTTCTACTGCCGGATTAAGTTATTTTCCAAATTACTCTCGCCAGTTACTGTCAGTAAACTACTGTGATGGCTTAGGACAGTAGTCGTGCGGTCAGTGTAAATTTGTTTTCCAGTTACATGTTTTCATTTTGTCAGATTACCCAATCCTCAATAAAAGCAAAAACACATAAATATTTAAATGTGGGGGTTTTACTTGAGTATTTGTGGATCGACACCATTGAGACCCAGATTTTCCTTTTTTATGTGTACAGGTATCCAAAAAAACAGGCTGCACGATAGCCACTTAAGAGTGGAGGGTGAATTCATCGCCATTAACGTGGCGAACGTGTTATTAACAGTTTAAACCAACAGAACAGGAGCTCTGGCCATTAACTACAGGAGCAATTAACAGGTGGTGATTACTTAAGGTCTTTCTTTCTTAAAATACTACCTGGTATAAATTAGTACAACAAGGAATGCTTTTTGTTTCAAAGCCTCGGAGTCAGAAGTGCTGGACTGCCAGACTGTCCTGACAAGGTATGTATAAATGTGTACTCAAATGGGTTTATACAGCATTTTATTTACCAAACAAGGGCAAAAGAAGGGAAGCTCCCTCCACTGTCTGGTGTGGAAACTACCGATGTACTTTGGCTTAAGAGGAAGCGCGAACTGTGCAGCCAACGCTGGCTTCAGCCTGGAACCAGGGGCACTTCCACCACCTCCCCAAGTCCACAAGGCATTTCAACCAAAATGTGCGATTCCTGGGTAACCTAGAAGCAACAGGATAATTAAATGGATACTAAACATCTTTTGAGACATGACAGTTTCATGTCTAAAATTCCTCCTATTCTTAAACTCTTTTCTTGGAAACACTTAAAATATAAATGGCTTAACTGGGGACACCACAGTTACTGTATCAGCAGATGCCTCATCAAAGAAAACCACAGAAAAGATGAACTTGGAAGGTGAGGAGAACGGAAACATTTTTCATTACTTTGGAGGCATTTTGCCCACTGTTACTCTCAAACATGTTAGCAAATGCTTTGTCAATTTATAATCAGGTCTGTTAGCCAACAAAGGCCCAGGCTTGCTAGTTCTTTAAACACACTCCTGACCAGTCTGTGATACTCCTTGGCCAGCACCCATCCTCGGTGGTTGATGTGTTTGAGGGAAAGTGCTAAGAAATCCCCCAGGTTCACTATAACAGAAATGAGAATGAAAAACAGCTCATAGAGCAGCTGTCTTGAGAGAAAAATCTTCGGAGATCAAACTAGTTCAAAGCTCAACATTTTAAATATCTTGAACCTGGACTTCAGTGATAAAATGCAGCACCGTAGTTTTTTGGTTTTTGGTTTTTTTTCTTTCTTTTTTTGGCAGCACTGTAGTTTTAAGCAAAAGGAAAGGCAAGGATTATCCCATATGTGAACTTAGATACTGCCTTTAAAAACAGAAGTTCCATAAATAAGTTCACAAGACTCTCAAATATACTTTGTGGGATTTTATTTAGGTCAAGTTCTTAGTACACAGCAACAATTAATTCCAAATACAATTAAAAAATTAAAAAGTGAATGTTCCCCCACTTGTCTGGAGGTGACTTAATGGCACACACAGGAAACATGACTGGCAACAGACGGCTCCCTCACAGTGTCCTGAACGTTTCTCAGCGCACGACACCATCCACTCCCCTCTGGGAGCAAAAGAGTACAACTGGCCAGATCACAAATTGTTCACATTCTTTTTGTAAACCACTTTGTTAGGAAAAGTACATGGACACAAAATATGATAAAAACTGCTTTTCTGAATTCTGAAGTTGCAAAAGAGGTTTCATTTTAGAAAAGTAATAAGTTTGTTTTTTTGTTTTTTTTTTTTTTACAAAAAACCTTAAGAGATTTAGCAAGGATCATTTATACACAGCTAGGCCCTGTCACTTCATTTGTAGTTTTTTCTTTTTTTTTTTTTAGAATTATGAGCATGTCAATAAAAGTAGAAGATCAGCATAAACTCAGAGGTAATGAGCTCGATGCCTCCATTTACTAACAGGCTCTCTCAAGTCAAGCCGTTTGCTGTACCGTGCTCCTGCCAGTGTCCAACTAATAAACTTGTCTCTGCCACACCCACCTTATGGAAGAGTTCTGAGTATAGTTTTAAAAGGGGTAAATGATTTTCTTTAAGATTGCATTTAGTACACTCCTTTAAACAGTCTGAATACTGTGATGGTATTTATCAAAACATGGCATGTCTTTTCAAGTATATTCCTGAAAACATCAAGTAAAACTCCAAACTTAAGAAAACAGCACATTTAGTTAAGACAGTTGTGGTGCAGTGGAAAGAGTATGGAACACTGAGTCAGGAACTACCTTGAGTAGCTGCTCATTGCACGAGAAACAGCTAACACTCGTTAGTCAATGAGACCAAATAGAAGTTTTTAAAATGCTCAGCTCCAAAATTCTAGGAGTCTAAGTAAATCATGTGAGGGAAATTATCACCTTAACACCAATCAGGAGGTTCCTGGTCAGAAAGTTCACAAGTGAACAGATCCCAGAGTCACCTACCAGTCCCTCCATCAAACCACTTTCCAGGACATGCCTCGCTCCCTCCACCAAGAAGAGGTAACTAAAGGTAAAAGAAGAGTTCTTAATGCAGAAAGATCACCTGCTAAGAGAAAATGAAAACAAATGCGAGCTACCATCATTTTGATGGCTCCCAAGTGTCTTTAATCAATAGAAACTGCTAAGGAGCACAGCGACATTGCAGCATCACTGTAAAGGTGCAGACATTCTGTCTAGTGGGCAGTAACTGCAGCAGAAGGAAGGAAGGAAAGGAAAGGATGAAAATGTCTTACACCCAGTTGATACTTAGGAACACAGCAAAATCAACAGGCCCTTACCCACCCTAAGCTGGGAGCAGCAGGTGCCTCTGAGGGAGACAGAAAGGAAGTAGCCAAAAAAATGGAAGATACCTAACATGACATCTTAAAAGATTCATATTTATTTCACACACAGCAGCCTGAATCTTTCACGTCTAGATTTTGACACATTGGCACTATTTTTGTTTCTGATTTATTGCCATGGCCCTAAGGGTCAAAGACAAAGTGTATTTTCATTCACATCCCCATAGGCTTTCAAATATTAATAGCAAAACGGAACTATTCTGTCACTCCTTTTTTAAAGAATGGACACAGTCAAAATATTTCAGGAGAGAAGAATCCCCTCAGATTCCCTCTCGCCTGATAAAATGGTCACGTACTGGTCAGATTTTAGACTTGGATTTTAGAATTACTGGTCTTTGCTACAATATTAATGGTGTGCAGCACGTACCATTTCTCTGCACTCATTCAGAATTTCTAATGCCAACCATCTTTTATTGAGTCACTGGAAAAGTCATGTTTTCTCTATGCAATGCATCATCACTTTTCCAACAACCCAATCATTTATAAAAGAAAATGGGGGAAACAGGACGTACTACCCTCACAGACTATTAATAGCATGCAATCTATGAGACATTACATACATTAAAAGTCTCCAATTATCGTAGGCCTGGCCCATCATCATCACATAGTACCCATCCAAGACAATCTATAGAATTTAAACTGTACAAAAATAATAAAGATATGCAGAAAACCAAGTATTGTCTGTAAAACACAAATCACAGAGAGCACTAAATATAAGAGGAAACCGGTTGACTAAGGATCCCCACTGCAGGCCTTCCCCAGTGGCTGTGCTGTCTCAACCCCGCAGGAGTCCAGCAGGCCAGCTGCAGTCCTGCTCAGGGCCACCAGCTCTGCTGCCTGCAAAGGGGTCCTCTCTCCTGTAGTGGTGAGTCGTGGGAACTATTTGTTGGATTTCAAAATACCCTCTGCCTTATTACCACTAAGCTTTCCAAGCAAACAGCTATTTAAATAAGTGAAGAACTGATTTTAAAACTCTTTCGTTTTACTTCAGGACTAAGAAGAGTTTAACCTTATCCAAGTAGAGTCTAATTTGGGCCCATAATGGAGCTACAGGCTCAGAGGACTTTCAGGGCCATTACTCTGAAATAAACAGAGAATAAAGGATGCCGAGATGAACTATCAAAAGCATAAAGTGGAATGTGTCCTGAAGGCAAGTTAATGAGCGCTCACTCCAAAATGGTGGGAGAAGCTCAAAGCAAAGTAGCTCAGTTGGAAAATGTTTCTTAAAATTGCAGTTTTAATAGTCTTGATAAGGAAACTTTACAGCTGGGTCTTAGTGATCAAGGTTTATCTCAGATGACAGCTTATAAGTGCCCACACCATCTGAATTCCCTCACACACTAAGACACTCTTTTTTTCAGTCAAGTTCATCTATCTGCACTACTTGTCATGTTCAAGGCCTCTGTGAAACACGTGCAGCCTTTTCCCTTCATCCTGCATGGGGAAGGTGCCTGGCAAAGCTCTGCTCTGGTAGAGCCTGGGAGGAACCCACACTGGCAGCCCTGAGCTGGCCCGTCCTCACAGTACTCTGCTGAGCAGAAGGCCCTCCTGAACTCTCGCAGTGTTTCTTTTTATTGATGACAGAAGAGATGATTAGAGACACCTGCTCTACAAGCTCCCTGAATATGACGACCGAATTGCACAGGTTGGCAGGAGATACTGATCATTTCAGAGTTACGTCAGTTTTACCAATGTGACTGGATAACTTTTTTGGCCTAGTAATCTTATCTCACTATTATACTCTTCATCTGAGATAGAAAGTTCAGTTCTTACCGGGAGCAGCTACTTCAGAGTCCAATCACGCAAAATCAGGAGAGTATTTACCTTTTCCTAGAGCTCAGTGACTAAGTGACTCAGTAGCAGCTGATCTGGGGCCATTAACTTTTAGAAGAACACGAGCTAGCCTGTTATTCCCAGTGACTCTCAAGAGACTTGAAAATAATTGCTATTCTCTTGCAAAAAAAAAAAAAAAAGAAACAGTATTCTAAGTAGTGAAAAAAAGTAATAGTTGGTCTGACTTCCGAGATTCTACTCCTCAAAACAGCACCTAAGGGCAAGGGTTCAGGATGCCCGAGAGCACCTGCCCCAGTTCAGCCTCTTCAGCAGCTCAGCAATGGAACCAGCCCAGCACAGTCCCCATCGGGTGCGCTGGCCACTAGCGGCACTGCAGTCACATGCAGCAGCACACTAAAATCAAACCGGCCACTGTTAACCACCCATGGAATGTTTGGAGACTTTCCCATTTCCTCATCGTCCTTGTAATCTACAAACTGAGAAACATGAAGGGACGTGAGTTCAGCATTCACTCGCTTGGGGCACTCAAGTGCTAAGAGAATCCAGAATTTACAGTGTTTAGGGGAAAAGTCATCTGAAATAACTGTAAAAATGGTTAGGCAGAGTATCCAAATATTAATTTCCTCCTTCACACACGTGGAAGAAAGTGAGAGGCTAGGCTACCCACTGGGCCTTAAGGTTAACCCCCTTAGCACAGGCAATGAAGAATATCCAATGCCAGATTCTGCAGAAGAAATTCCAAGGGTGAATAAATTCCTGAGAAAGATCCCAGACTTGTTTTCTGAATCAGTCTTAATTTGACTTGTTTTAGCTACACAGTTACATTGTTGTTATGCCTTTGACATATTCAGAAATGGCCATTTTATTTCAATTCAGATAGCTCAGCATAGTACAAATGATGGCAGAAAGATCCATTCATTCTGACTCAACTTGCTTTTTTGTTTTAATACTAGGGCATAAAACAAAAAATTTTAAAAAGGAAGTAGTTTTTATCATTTGTATCCATCGTTCTATTTCACTGGAGGGAAACCCCAGGGCTTTCAGATAATCTGGGAAGACCTGACTATTCCTGCAAGGGAAGCACAGCCCTGCTGAGCCTTATTCAGAATAATGCATGATGGACTCAACATAATTCCCGGGGAAGAGCCCAGTCACTCCGTTCATAACACCCTCATACCAACCATCGTCATTCTTCTTGATGACATAAATAATGGCGCCTTCCTGAAAGGACAGCTCATCTTCCTTGTCTTTTGTATAATCATAAATTGCCACAACTGGAGAGGGGAAAAAAAAAAAAAAAGGTATAAAAGAGAATACTCCTGGAAAGGCAGAACCAAGTAAGCACATACCCATCTGTCCCCAAGATTTGCATGTTTTCAAGTGTGGTGACTTTCTAAACACAAACCAATTTATATTTTCTCTAATAATTCCAAGCCTTAGAGAGGTTGGGTCTAGGAAAGAAAAAAATAAAACACCTTAATCAAACTGACCTTATTTGGTGGGAATGTACCTCACCGAATAGAGGTACACAAACTCAGAATCAGGAAAGATGGTTATTTTTTCAATTGAGTTAGTGCTGAGACAGACACTATATTATGCCAAGAAAATGTGTATCTTGAAACATCAGAATTATATAATGCAGTGAGATATGAGAGGCAAGTGAGAAACCAGACAGACGAAGGAAACAGCAGATTCATGTCTCTCTTCTCACACTTTCTGGAGCCTGTGCCTCTTCTCTGAGTAGAGTGGTGGCTGAATTCCATCAAGCATGGTCAAGCATGAATGATGATCCACTAGAACACATGCCACTTTATGTCACCAATTTAATATATCCATAATTAACAGACTAAAGATGCTAAGAAAACTAAGATGCTTCTAAGTTCTTACGTGACTCTGAGTGCTAAAATCACTTGGTGACTTTTGTACTTCAACTTTTATCCCAGACAATCTCTGTCTGCTTTATTTTCTTATTTTGCCAGAGGGTACATGTGCTCACTGCAGGATGGGAGGGGGGGGCACCCTCAAGGGGGCATGGTCACACTGCAATGCCTTCTCCTCCATCTCTCCTTCCTTTCAGAATTTTGGAAACACACACATATGCACTCAGCATATTTTTTTTAAAACTGGCAAGTCTGAGACTCAAGCTACATGGTCAACCATGTGGGACCAGGCACTAGACCATGGGGCCAGCCTGTAAGCACTAGACCATGGGGCCAGCCTGTAATCTTGGGTTTTAAGTATAGCATCTACCTCAACAGGTTAGTTAAATCAGAGTACCTTATAACTTGCTCCAATCCACCTGAAGTCTGTTGCTTTAATCTCTCTATCCTTCTGTACCTTTTTGTAGTACTTAGAATTTCACTCAGTGGAATTTCCCATCTATCCATTTTTTCTGGATAAGTGAGAAACAGAAACCACAAGGACTTTTGCTTTAATAAAATTTGCCCTGGTTAAAGAACACTCTGGTAGTTAAGGTACACTGTTCAAATTTTGCACATCAATTGAAGGTATTCTATAATGTTTTATGAAGACCTATAAACTTCTCTTTTTCATTTTAACCTTATAATTCTACACCAAGTATCCTATAGAATTAAACATAAACTATTTGTAGAAGGATTCCATTATCTTTTCTCATAAGATGAAGCAAGGAGCAGCCATCTGAACATACAAGTCTCTCCATACTGCCAACTCCTGGAAGGAAGGATCCACTGCTTACCCATTTCTGTATCCTTAGCACTAATACTTCAAAATAAATCTACATTCTATATGATTCAGCTGCTGAGTCAGGAATAACTAAAACTGAAATATGAATTAGGGAAAAATATGAAGTGATACAAAGTAACAACTGTAAGAAAGTACAAAATGAGAACTTCACATTAAAGTGACTGGTCTGAGCAGAAAAGAATGACCACCAAATCCCGCAGGCATTAGCGACCATATCTAGCAGGTAAGCACCTTGAACTGGAAAGCTACTGGGAAATCAAAATGTCAGTGGGATTACCCATATCAATATGTTCTTTGTATTAAATCACACATTACAATTAAAACATCTACTTATATGGAAAAAGAAAAGTTTATCCGAAATCAGTAAAATCTCATTTAAGTAACTTGGAATTTATGTATAACCTGCCCTGAGATAGAATAAAATTAACCTTGAGATCATCAATAAAGAGTTTAACATAATCTAAATTAAGAGACATTCTAGAACATGATGGGACATTGTTTCTATGAAAATAATGCTGCTTACTTAATTTAGTTTTAATCCTTCTGTCCCCCATCATTCGAATGAAACAATACTCACTCAAAGGTGGCCACTGAATAAACACGCTTGTAATTTTGAGATCCGCAGTCTCTTCCCAGCTCTCTTCTTAAATGACCTCTTGCAGTGTCCGGCAATGATGGTCACCTCTCCCCACTTCTTGACCTTTTCCTCCCTGTTTCCATGACATTATCTTCTCCTAGTTCTCTTACTACTCTGAGTTTCTACCCAAGCCAGGAAACTTGAAGTTGTCCTTGCCTTTCCCTCACTCAACTTCTCCCACATCTCCAAGTACATTAGTTCTGACTGAAAACCCTCCGATCCAAATGCTTCTCTCCATCACAGGTCATTGCCCCAGAATTCGAGCTGGAATGCATGTATCACGTGGGGTATCTGGATATTTTTGAAGCAATGTGAGTGACAAATGGCTTACAGAAATTCTAGATTTTCAACTCCTATAAATACTGATTACTAAAACTGATCTGCAGGATATGATATCTTTAGTCAGGCATCAGTCATAAAAGTGCTCATTCTTTTTTGTCCTTCTCTACTTCAACGTAAGTACAGGAGCACAATCTTCAAGTACATAAAACTTCTGAGTGCCAAAGGGACCGTGCAAACTACTCGTGCTGGTATTAAGAGAGAGAATTCTGCCACTAACTGAATCACGTTTCACATCAGGTGGTTCCCATTTCTTTGCTTTTAACACTTAGGAAAGACCTGGGCCAGTCCCGTAGCCTAGGGGTTATGGGAGCCAAATCCTGGAGGGCCAACCACAGTTCAAATCCTAGCTCCAGTGGCTTGATGAGAACTCCAGGCATGTGTATGTAGCCAGAATCCCGACAGGACAATGTTGGGGGGTGGGAAGGGCAGCAGGTGGCATGGTAGTTAAGGCACTGGAAACCCATATGGCTGACCGTGGTTTGGTCCCAGACCTGGCAGCTCTCTCACTCTCTCTAGTGAGAACAAGTTTAAAAAGAAAATGAAATAAAATAAACTGTTCTAAAAAACAAAAGTACATGGGATCTTATCATTAAACTACTTAAAAATCTTCCATGATTTCCTGTCTCTCTTCCTTTGTCATAGAGGGGGCTGGGGAAGAATAAATGAAATGGGCACTGACAAGTAAGCAGACGTTGTCAGGAAGAATTTAATGCTAATAAACATTATAGCCAAAACCCAACCCAGGTGCCAGAGAGCAGAGCTCAAGCTGACAGCAATGGCTAAGAGACGGCTGGGAGGCCAGCCTACGTGGCATAGTTCTCAGCATACTAGACCGCAGTGCTAGAAGCCACATGACCAAGTGCCGGTCTAGAGCCCTGCCCAGTCGACCTGAAATGTGCCGGCATGCCCAAGATCCCGACCAGCTGGAGGAACGGGGCTGTGGCACGACCAGACCCCATCAAGGTGCTTCGCTCTCTGTGTGCATCTCTCCTGTGTGCACACACACCCTTTCTACCATAAACAAGAAAAGAGGCCATATGAGGCCCAGTCGGAGCAGCTAGATCCACAAGGGGAGGTCCTAGGTTCCCAACCCAGGCCTCCCTATGCACAACTGACTCTGTGCACATGCCTGTGAGCTGCTGGCTGAAGCTGTGTGGGGATCCTGTTGGGTGTGCCTGTTTTTTTCCTCAAAGAAACAAACAGGGTGGGTTCTGAGTATACCACCTACATCAAATCCCAACTCTATTACAAAATCCTTAACTGTCCTTAGATACTTTCTATTCAACTGTATAATGGGAATTGAACAGTGCTAACATCTCAGTACATCGCTGTGTTAACCAAACTTTGAAAACATCACATCTTAGGGCAGTTCAGGCATATTTAGATAGGAAGACTTACTTCCTTCTCTTACAAATCTTTCCAAATTTTTACATATTCATTAAAGAGTTGATTTTTAAAAAACAAATCTTTTCACTGTGCTTTTTCTCTCAAGCAGATTTCTCAGAGTTGCAACTGTCCCTTTGCCTAGAGCAGTGTTAATACGGCTAGGGAATTTGTACAATATGTTAATGTCCAGAGTCACATGCTAGGGTTGTGTTTGGGGCATAATTTTTTCTTAAAAATGAACAACTTTATTAAGGTGTAATTTCGACACAAAACACAAGCACTTAAGTGTAAATAAAGATCAATGAACCAGTACTGGTGTCTGGAAACTACGAGTTTTCTAAATTTCCTTCCTTTAGATGGAATCATACTTTTGCCTGTACAAATACCGGGTGGTCGAAAAAATCATGATGCATTTTTGCAAAGAGAAATATGTCCTGGGGCCAGCAGGTGGTGTCGTGGTTGGGGGCGCTGGATTCCCTCATGGCTAACCGCGGTGCAAGTCCCAGACCTGGTGGTTTGCTCTCTCCCTTTCCCTTTTTCTCTCTGTCTGGTCAAATTAAAAAATAGTAACAACAAATGGAATTAAATAATTCTTTTAAAAAAAATCAAGAAAAATACATCATGCCTTTTCCAGCTATCGAAGTTTTTTTCTTTTCATTGTCGACCAGTATTCCATTGACTGGCTCCATCCAGGGACCAGGTGGGAGACAACTGGCTTATTTCTAGGTTTTGGATATTATGAATAACGCACCTATGAGCATCTGCATTCAAGTCTTTGTGTGAAATTATTGGAGCAGATGGTGGGTTTAACTTAAACCGTCAGCTATATTCCAAAATGGCTGTAATATTTTGTATTCTCACCCAGCAATGTATAGAAGTTCCACTTTACCATGCCTTCTCTAATCCATGGTGGTATCAGTGCTTTATTTTTAAAAAATTATTTTATTGATTTTATTTATTATTCCTTTTAAAATTTGACCAGAGAAAGACCAGGGGGAGGTGAGAAAGCAAGCCACCAGGTCCAGAACTCAAACCAGGGTCAGCCATGTAGGAGGGTCACCATCTTACCAACATGCCACCTGCCGGTCCTATCAGTGCTTTTAATTGTAGCCATTCCAGAAGGTATGTAGTGCTATTAAATTTGGTTCACTGTGGCTTTAAATTGCATTTCCTGGGCCAGCCTTGTAGCAAAGTAGTTAGGTGCCACACAAAGGAAGCCAGATCCATGTAGCTAACCAGGGTTCAAGTCCCAGACCCACTGGCATAAAAAATACTCCCAATAACATGTACCCAGGATTCTGATCAGACAGAAAATTAGAGTAAAAGGACTGCAGTGTGACCAGATTCTGCTAGGGGTGTGCAAAGGTACACAATCTCTCTCTCTCCCTCTCTCTCCCTCCCTCTCTCTCTCTCTCTCTCTCTCTCTCTCTCTCTCTCTCTCTCATACATGGAGACAAACCCTCTGGGGATTAAATTTTTTTTTTCTCACATTTTCCTGCCATGGCCACATGAATGAGCCTGAAAGCAAACCCTCCTCCAGTCAAGCCTTGAGATAAACTACAGCCTCATCTGATACCTTGATTGCAGCCATGTGAAAGTCTCTGAGTCAGAGGGCCCAGCTGGGCCATACACAAAACCTGGGAATAATAAATTTTTTGTCTAAGCCACTAAACTATTAAGTAATTTTTAGATAGCAATAGAAAACTAGTATAGTTTTCACTCCATGTGGAAATATTTTAACCATAATTGCTTCACATTTTTTTTTCTTTCCTTTTACCTTTCCTGGAGATTTAAATTGCATATGTATGTGTATATATATCATCCATCTATAGCTATATATATATATAGGGGGCACATACATGCACACATACACCTATCTGTCCCATATATCTGCTGCTGTTTTGGGGTTTTTTTTTGTTGTTTCTGTTTTTATTATTTTTTTATTTTTTCTCTGTACCTTATTTTAGATAGCTTTTACTGAGTTGTCAGAAAAGTCGTGATGTTCTGACAATGGAATACTATCATGGTAACAAGGTTGCTGTCCTTTTTTCTGCAGCATTACTTTAGATACTGTATTTTTCATCTCCAGAAGTTCTATGTGGATTTCTCTTTCAAAGTATATTTGACTTTTCTCTCATGTTCATGTTTTCCTTTACCTACCTGAACATAACTGGTATTTACAGCATCTATATAACAGAAAATGTCTTTGATTTCCTGCTCTCTAGGGGTCATAGTCTGCCAATGGCTATTTTTCAATGTCTGAACCATTATTATTATTATTATTATTAATTCCTGTTTTAGGAGGGATTTCTGTTGCTTTACCCTGACCAGAAGTGGAAGACTATTATTTCTTAATAAAACTCCCCAGGTGACTCTAATGGGTAGTTAGGTGTAAGACCAGTGAAAAGTAGCTTTGATTTCCTTAACAAACAATTTCCTTCTAGACGACACACATTTCTTCTGAGCTAATTTTAGTACTGATGATATCTAAAAGCTTATGTCCTAAAGTGCTATGCTGGTTAGCTAATATACTCAGAGAAGCTTCTCACTAAAAGAAATGTCTGATATTACTATACAAAGATAGATAGGGACGAATCATTATTCTTTGGAAAACAGTTTCAAATGGAGATACTTAAACTAAAATATCTGTTATAACTCAAAATAATGTTTTAAAGCATGGAAATAGGAATAACTAATAGTGTGAAAAGAATCATTCTTTTTCTGAAGCAGTCCAAAGGAAATAGAAAAGCCTTTCCTTTAGTGAATTTTATTTTTTTTTGGAGAGGTTTTTGCTTTAAGGCACGTGCGCTTGCCAAAAAGACAGAGAGACAGAAAGCGAGAAATCACCCCCAGAGGGGATGGCCACACCACAATCCCTTCTCCTCCATTCTCCTCTCGGGACCTTGGGCATGCACACACGCACATGCACCTGGCCTGAGTTTAAGCCACCGGGTCTGGGTCTCGAACCATGGTTAACTATGTGGGAATCCAATGACATAGCCGTTACTCCAAATGCTGATTCCCCCCTTTCGTGATTTTTGTCTTATCGAAATAATTCATAAAAAAGCTTGTTCAACACAACTAAGACATAACTATCAATTTAGAAATTAATCAAGTGTTTGCCAAATTTTACTAGCATGACTTTAAAAATCATTCACCTAAAACTAAAATAAAAATGCACAGATAATGTGAATAAATAAAACTACTTATCAGTTAAAAAAAAAAGACTCTCTTCAGTACCAGAAAAATGTTAAATTTTTTTGCTTTATAAAACTTTATTTCAACATAATTATGCTTAAAGAAATTCACTCATATGAGTTAATAGAATGCAACGTAAGTTTAGTTTATCCTACACAATTTGGAGCAAAAATTGGCACATGGTTTAAGATTACATAAAAAAAAAGGATTTGCAATTTACTTTATCAATTATAAATGTATAAAAGAGTCTCTATCAGATGCTACTAAAGAAGGCAACAAGAACATTGAGAAATTTACCTTTGGCTTGCCTCAGGAAAAAAGCACATACTATACTGTAAAAGTTCATAAAACTGGTACAACAAAACATTACTGTAATGCTGCAATGCCAGTTTGCAAGTTCAATAACAAATGACTGTAGGAGGGTATGGGAAGGGCCTACATACATACACATGTGGGACTGTAAAAACTATTTAATTTAGGTAGCACTGCACGTAGACTACGAATCTACCGAAACCACAACTCAGGTAATTTCTTAAATCTGAATTAACACTAGTAGCTTACTTCATCAACTGAAGCTAACATGGAAATTCAGAACACTACCTGTTAAAGTTTTTCTGATTTATGTAAAAAGAAGAAAATTAACTTTCTTCCTCTGCTTTTCAGCCCAGAAATGACAGTATACTGAGGACAGGTACTCTTTCATTGTCAACGTTCATGGGAAACGTGCACTAGGTATACTTGGGTTTTGTGTATGAGCACTCAAGTGCGCAATGGAACTCAAAGTTAATGACCACATGATTTTAGGAGTTGACTCTAAAACTAAAATGGCTCTTCTTGGAAGACAAGAGCAAAACACCCAGACACAGTTATAAGAAGCTTTATCAGGGCCAGCAGGTGGCATGCTGGTTGAGGGCACTGGACTCCCACATGGCTGAGCACAGTTCAAGTCCTGGACATTGTGGCTTACTTTCTCACTTCCTCTCTCTTGTCAAATTTATTTATTTAAAGTTAAATTTTTAAAAAGCAGCAGTCTTATCAAAGAAACAAAATTTATCCCCTTGTGAATTACATCTCAATTTAAAAATAAGTTAGCCCCCCATAAAGAAGCAGCAGCTTTGAAAGAAACAGAAAAAAAGGTAACTTAAAATATCTTGGAAGTCAATGTGAAGATAGGTTCAAAAGATAGTTAAAAAAAGAGATTCATTTTCATTTCATGGGAGAGATTTCTTCCCATCCCTTTCTGAAGCTTACCCTTTTCCAAGTAAGATCTTGGAGCCCATGGGGGGTCTTCTTCAGCATAAGGATCACTATATTCAACCACAGCTGCTTCCTCCTCTTCATAATCTTCTGGGGGAGGTGGTGGAGGAGGAGATTCATCAAAGACTGGTTCTTCCACAGGTGGTGGTGGAGGTGGTGTATCTGAAACTAAGAATGTAATCAAGTTCACAACAAAGCTACATACTAAGCGAAGTTGAGTATTTCCTATCCATTTCTAGGTTCATGGAATTTAGACCTAGACTTGAAAATTTATCTTTCAAACAAATGAGAGGGCAACGGAAGTCTTCCCAACAACTACTGGGTCATCAGAAAAGTCATCATGTATTTTTGCATAGAAAAACATAGAAAAAAAATATATCATGACTTTTCCAACAACCCAATGTGCTGAATCTCAGGCATGGCTTTTTCTCTTCCCTGTTGATGGTGGCTGTTGAATAAAGTTAGAGAAAAGATTATTAACTGAGCCTGTGGAACCTGTTTATGCTAATATATAATCCTCTATTCAATGAAATCAGTACAGTACAGTTTGGCTTTAAACTATATGCAAGGAGGAATTATTATCAGAAATATTAATAATCTGGATGTTCATAACAATATTTAATTTATAACAAATTAGATGGAGTCCAAGGAATAGTCAAATTTTAATATCTGCTACTTTCCTCTCAATGATTTTTCTTTTAAATCATCTTACCAAATTGGGAAGGAAAAAAATGACAAGCAACTTTAGGTAACTTTATACATGGAGATGTTCTACTTACAAAATTTTCATTTATTTGACTAATTTATGATTCAGAATGTCTTCAGGCTAAATGTCCAAGTGTACTACCAAAGTGATTTTAAATATTTGAAATATATCAACATATAGTAACATTAAAATATTATCTCCAAACTCAAAAAACACAAAGGTTTCAAAAGGCTTAGAACAGAGGCCAGGAGGAGTTACGGTGGTGAAGGAAACTCCCATATGGCCAACTACGGTTCAAGTCCTGGATTTGGTGGCTTGCTTTCACACTTTCCTTTCTATCTCTAGTTGAATTAAAAAATAACAACAACGAATAAAATAAATATATAATTCTTTTTTTTTTTTTTGGAGAGGTATTTGCTATAGGGCATGTGTGCTCGCCAGAAAGACAGACAAAGAAATAGAAAGTGAGAAAACACCCCCCAGGTGGGGATGGCCACACTGCAATCCCTTCTCCTCCACTGTCCTCTTGGGATCTTGGGCACTCACGAACATGTGCCCGGCGTGAGTTTAAGCCACCGGGTCCAGGACTTGAACTGTGGTCAACTACATGGGAGTTCAGCCACATAGCCATTACACTAACTGCTGTTCCCTATCACTCTTTTTTTACAAGGCTTGGTATATACTTCAACACAGCTCAAGAGAATAAAATTAATAAACTTACACTAATCAACTGCAGGTTTTTTTCTTAATTAAGAATTTTTTTTTTCTCTTTTTTTGGAGAAAGACGAGAGACAGAAAGTGAGACAGAAAGTGAGAAATCACCCCCCAGGGAGTATGGCCACGCTGCAATCCCTTCTCTTCCATGATCCCGAGACACACACATGCGCCCGGCTTGAGTTTAAGCCACCAGGTCCAGGACTCAAACCACAGTCGACTACGTGGAAGTCCAGCGACATAGCCATTACACTAACTGCTGGTCCTAAGAATTAATTTTTTTTAAGCTTTTGTTATAGGGCATGTACACTCACTAGAGACAGACAGAGCGAGGGAGATTGGGAAAGTGAGAAAGCAAGTCCCGAGATCTGGGAATCAAGTCAGAGCCAGTCATGTGGGAGTCCAGCACCTTAACCACCACACTACCAGCTGGCCCCTCAACTATACAGTTTAGATAAACAACACTAATTCTTCTATATGAAGTACTGGTACTATTTACATGAAATTCTCTGAGCAATCTTATTTACTTCCTATTTTTATAAACTACACCTGATTGCATCAAATAGATTTTTTAAGACTGCTGCTGGTAAAAATCAGCCATGTCAACACTATACTCTTGTCTTATTTCAGTATTCTCTCATCTGCTGTGCTATTCCTTGCCATTTATTTTATAAACCTAAAATGTTATTCATAAGCAGAAATTCTTCAGTCCTAATTTTTTTAAACAAACAAATGATACAGATATGTGATTTTAGTGTGTACTTTATTAAAAAATTACATATGGATAGAGTGAAAAACAATATATCATATTTGCATTTGTGAGCTAAAGAGACTGATGTTAAACTATTGCATGAAAATATAAATCCAAAGAAACGTTAAAAAAAAATCACCTTGAGAAACTGCACTACAAAATTACTCAAGAGATATTACCATTGCTCCTTTTTAACCTTTTTTTATTAACTGCCTCATAGCCAGTTTAATAAGATTAACGAAAGGGGCCAGTCAGCAGGTGGCATGGTGGCTGGGGGCAGTGGATTCCCACATGGCTGACCACGGTTCGAGTCCTAGTCCTGGCAGCTTGCTTTCTCACTTTGTCTCTCTAACTCTGTCTCTCTCTGGTCAAATTAAAATAAATAAATAAATAAATAAATAAATAAATAAATA